TAACCATTTGCCTCCAAAGATCCCCTGTCCCACGGGGACCTGGAGAAATGAATGTTGTCTGTGCTGGAGCTCAGAACAGCTTTTCAGCAACTTCCCGAAGCAATCGGGCACGCGGCAGAACTGCCGATAAAGTGGGGCGAGGGTGGAAGAGGAGCCAAGCCTAAGTCAGCCCTGAGGTCTGTCTGTCTCGCCGTGTTGCAGACTGACAGACGCTTGCCCTCTCTTACACCAGCCCAGACCTCAGCAGGCAGCAGTTCAACGGCTGCTGAAACCCGAGGTCTGGTCTGTCCTCGCTGACTGCACGTGTGCCCTCCAGGCCCCGGGGAGCAAGAGTGCTGTGGCAGAGGGGCGACAGCCTTGGCTTGAGCCAGCCCAGCCTCGCCGCTCCCCTCCTCGTATTATCCCAGTTGTTGTTTGTGATCTGCCCTGCGTTCCTTAAAAATAATCTTAGCAAAGTGGAGCGGGGGACCGGCTAACTGCTCTGGCTCTGTCCTCAGGCTTTCCTGCAGTGCTCTGCTGAAACAGTTTACCAGGAGGTTATTCTCCAGCCTGAGAAGATGATCCTGTGGAACAGAACAGTGGCAGCTTGCCAGGTGAGCGTGCCGGACAAAGATGGCTTAATCACAGGAGCTCCTTGGAGCGGAGAGTTGGAGCTTCCCAGTCCAACACCGGCTGTCGGCGGTGCCCAGGCCCTACTGGAGCTTAGCTGGATCCGAGTCACTGAGGCGTTAAATCTCCGCCGCTCATCCGTACGATCCGAATGCTCTGCGGTAGCCAGCTGCATGCGTGTGCCTATCCAAAAGCCCATGAGGTGGGCAGGGAGATGGGCCAGCGGCTGAGCCAAGCCTGCTTTTGCTTGCTAGGGTTTGGGCGTTTTGTGCTGTTGGTGTGGCAGGGATCTGGAGGCAATGCCTGTGGCCCCCCCAGTCCCCCAAAAGGCAGAGGGACCAGTCCCAGGGCAGGAGACAAACACTGTGCACACACTGCCAAAGAGTTCGTCCCCCTCAGCCTCAGATCAGCTGCTAAAGACACCCTGGTTGCTTTGAATCCTGCTGCTGTTTTAGGGGGGGGTCCGTATCACCTAGCTGTTGGCACGTGCAGACCTGCAGGGACAGTCTGAGGAAATCTCTCTCCTTTTTTTTGTTCCCCACCACCACCCCCAGATCTTGCAGCGGGTTGAAGACAACACGATCGTCTCATACGACGTGGCAGCTGGGGCCGCAGGCGGTGTTGTTTCCCCAAGGTCAGTTTATTCCGCTGTTTCTTTTGTACTGAGCCCCTAAACACCCTCCTAAAACACAGAGAGAAGCGTCTGCCCGTGGTGAGAGCGCTCTGCCCCAGCTCTGCCGCTCTTTGCTGGCTGGGAGCTCCCAGCATCGACGAGGCAGGGGCGGGGGGGGGGGGGTGGAAACGAGGCAGGGCTGGCTGGCTGTGCTAGTAATGCTCCCAAAGGCAAGGAGCCCCTGAATTCTCCTCCAGACGTTTCTGGCAGGAGTCTCAGAACTCAAAATCTGTTTCAGTCCGTCGGTCTCCCTGATAAGAGTGCTGCGCTGTGCTTTTGTCTGTGTGTTGACATACCTCTGCCGCGGCCTTTCCCAGCAGTCCGGCGAGCGGGATCTGCTCCTTCAAAGTCCTGTTTTAAAGCAGTCGGCGCCCTTTCTTTGCTTAGGGATTTCGTGAACGTGCGCCGGATCGAGAGGAGAAGAGACAGGTACATTTCCTCAGGGATGTCGACCACGCACAGCCTGAAGCCTCCGCTCTCCAAGTATGTCAGGTAAGAGGCAGGGTCTGGTTTTTTAGCTGCTATCTGACACGACGCACTTTGCTAAAGCTTAGGGCAAAGAGCCACTTAAAATGAAAACCCTGCTGTCTTTCTGGCAGCATTTGCAGGAAGCTAATCTATTTGTGGAACTAGACCTTGCTTCCCTTGTTCTTCCTCCTTTGTTAAAGAAAACTCTCTGTGCTCTTCAGCGTTGCTCGGGCGTTTCCCAGCTCACCGCTCAGGGGAGTGGAGGTGCTGACCAGTAACAGCACAAACCCCAACCCAGTCTGCATCCTGTTTATGTAACAGTTAATTCCCAATCAGGGCCAGCTGCCATTTCTGAGGGGCAGTAAACAGCTGACTCGGAGCCTCTCGGATGCCTTTTGCTTCTTGTAAGCCCGTCACTTACTGACTTTAAAGGCTGCGGACACTGAGAGATGGTCCCCTGGGTGAAACAAGCTGCGTCAGGATGGACTGGCTCCCAAAGTGTTGGCAGGTCTTTGGCCTCTCCCCTTCCGAAGGCACAGCTTCGCCCGGCTGGTGATGGATCTCGGCGGGGTTGGTCTCATCAAACAAGGACTCCTTGTTACTGTCTGCTCCAGTGCCTGGGGCCCAGCTGTGCCACTTCGCGCACTGACTTTGTTTTTCCTAATAATCTGGTTAAAGTAATTGACATTTTAACTCGGAGCCGTTATAGCTGCCTCAGTCTATTTAAGAGCTGGGGACTTCAGGGCCTAGAAACATCTTTTTACAAACGCATGGAGCAAAAATAGCGTGTTCCTGAACAGGGAAGGGAAATCTCTATTTGGGCTGCGTGTGTGAGCGCAGCCCTTGTCTCCGAGATGGATCAGATGGTGCGAGGAAGGATCTGGGGGCTGTAGTGACAAGGCTCCCCGTGCCGAGCCTGTCCTGACTGCACAGGGTTTCCCTGGCCGCTTGGCTTTCCTGGGACATCTTGTTTGCACCCATTTTCACAGGGTTGTGCCTCGGAAACCTCCCCACAGTGAGGAACCGGGCTTGGCTGGGCTGGCATGGTCCGGAGGCAGAGGCTGCTTCTCAGCCCGCAGCCCTGCGGCAACCCTGGCACCACCGCTGCCAAGGCACCTGTGGGAAACCTGCCTGGCCGTGTTCGCTCCTGCGCCTGCAGCCAAAGCAGACACCTCCCCGGGCACTCTGCGCATCTGCTCTTGCCCCGCTGGGCTCCAGTCCTCGCTGCCAGGCGGAGGGGGAGGCCGCTGCTGCTGCAGGAGCTAGCGCAGGATCGGTGTGGTGCACCCCAGGGTGTTGGAGAATGGCTTTTCGTCTGGCCCCAGCTCTGACTCTGCGCTCTCGGTTCCCCACAGGGGTGAGAACGGACCCGGAGGATTCATCGTACTGAAATGTCCCAGCAACCCCAGGGTTTGCACGTTCATCTGGATTCTCAACACGGACCTGAAGGTAAAACCATTTCTCCGCTGATGCACGAGCGCTGTGGCCGTATCCTGTCCCCCGCGGAGCTCGCCAGCAGGCTCCGACATCCCCTGCGTGGCGCAGGCTGCGTGCTGAGGACCTGCTCTCTGCTCCCAGCCGAGCAGCGTGGGGCTGCAGTCCTGCTGGCCGCTTCGGAAAGCGGCTCGTTATCAAAGGCTGCCCTAAAGGGACTCGAGTTTTGCTGGTGGAGGTTGAACGCTACCTGAAAATCCCCCTCTTTCCCGCTGAAGCTGCCCCAGTGTGAGGTGGAGGAGCTCTCCCTTACCTCTTTCTTTCCACAGGCATCGGCAGAATCATCTGTCGTCTTCGGCTCGGGCGGAATTTTTTTTTTTTTTTTTTTTTTTTTTTTTTTTTTTTTATCCTCTTTGGGGACCGAAAATACCGGGGCATGTGAATCGCTCGCCCTGCTCCCAGACACCCTGGTACAAACACGGCCGACCCTGGAGCGCATGGGGCTGTGTCCGCAGCCGGGGAAAGGCGCTTTGGCCGTAGGAGATGACCCAGATCCAGAGCTATTTGCGGAGCTGCATGTCGAGTCCTTGCTGGTGGCCCAGACAAAAGGCAGCGCACGAAAGGAGCCGGGGTCGGGCGGATGGGGGGAGCGGAGCTGGCCCGTTTTCTTCCTCCGCTGAAGGTTGACGTGGTAACGGCGCTGCAGCAGCGAGCACAAAGGCTCCATTCATCAGCGCTCTGCTGCAAAGCTGCGCGGCCCCCTCCCCTCCCACGTCCCTCCCTCCCTCCCCGCAAAGTAGATCAGCTCTTGTGAAACGCTTTGGAAAGGATTTGCAGCAGCGTTTCGCCGGGGCAGCAAAAGTCGGGGCAGAACGGAGCACGGCCTCCTGCCCCTTCACGCTGGAGACGCGTTCCCTTGCGCAGATCTGGCTCCGCTGCCTCTTCCGCCCCTCCCGTAATGCGTGGGTTTGGGGGGATAATGAACCCGCTTGCTTGTGCAAGATGGGGCTCAGAAAGGAAAAACGTTCCCTGTGCTTCCCGGGCCGGACAGCACTCGCCCACTGCCTGCCTCCGCTGCTGGAAGAAAATGCCGTAGCGGACGAGCTATTAATAACCTGTCAACTGCTTCCACCATCTTCCTGAAGGGCTCTGCTGGTGCCCAGACCCCTCTTCTCTGCTGTCTTGCTATTTCCTTTGGCCCTGAAGAAGTATTTATAGCACATGGCTCATCCCTTCCTGCAGCGAAGGGTGAGAATTACACAGGGGTGTGTGTGTGTTTTTGTCCGTGACGGAGCTCATTTCAGGGAGGTGCCTGAAATGGCCCCTGGACCAAGGCTCTCGCAATCTCTGTGCCCCCATGTCGCAGGGAAAACCTGCTCCAGGGGAAGGTCGCTGCCTTCTGCCCTGCTCAAACATCCTGATCCAAGGAGGGGGTGTCCTCCTGTGACTACCCGACCCCCCAGGATAGTCAGCCCAGGACCCCCCTCTCCACCCTGGGACCCTGCGGAAGCTCCCAGAGCTGCT